CACAAAAAGATCGGATTTTTTCAAAAAAAATCACAACTGAGCATTAAGACCTGCAGTGTGAACGTAGCCAAAAGCTCTGACTGAAAACAACAGATTCCATCAAAGACTGTTAAAAACTCCAGAATGTAGCTCACCTGTCAGCTGGTTACCTTTCATATCTACCTGTTTACCAACAGACTTACTGTCTCAGGTAGATTCTGCAGACAGGTGAACACAGGTGCAGACAGACAGGTGAACACAGGTGCAGACAGACAGGTGAACACAGGTGCAGACAGACAGGTGAACACAGGTGCAGACAGGTAAAAACAGGTTACTGTTTGTCCTCCAGCTCAGTGGTAGAAACAGATTTATTCCCTTGTTTTTAAAGATAGAGATCATCATGTTTGTTTACATAAACAACAACAAGAGACAAACAAACGACATCAGGTCCACCAGGACCAAAACAGTACCTCTAAGGTTCTGCTTCATGAGCTTCAGTTCAARAACTGCACAACTTCACTGTACAAGTCCCCGGTCCACATCAAGTTCAGTCGGGTCAGGACACGTCCCACAGGTCCCAGCGGTCAGGACATGTCCCAGCTCACAAAGAAGAACAGAAACAAAMAAAACACACAGAAAGAGGTTCTGCAGAAGCAGATTTTCAGAATAAGAGCACATTATTTTTTTACAGCTCAGTTCAGACTGGATCAGAACCTTCTGATTGGTCAGAGTCCTTTGTTTTTGTAATCCTGGTCCATTCAGCTATAGTGTTAGCATTTCAAGCTCCACCTCCTCCAACAGTTGTCCAATCAGCTGTCCCTGATACTTCTGTCCAATCATAATGCAGGGGGCGTGTCCAGCAGTGGTGTGTGGCCTAAAGACTCCTTCTTATAAGTTTTGGGGGGCAGTTTGGGGACAATGTGACGAGGAGGAACCGGGGGCCCGTCCAGGGGCGAGATGAGGGGTGGTGAGGGYAGGGGTAACTTCTTTGAGGTTGGTGTGAGAGGGGTGAGCGGAGGGGGGGGTGTGGAGGACGACAAGGCTGTGGGGGTGGAGCTAATGGAAGAAGAAGAGGTGGAGGGGAAGAAGGCTTGAGACAACAGGTCACAGCGGGAGCGCCCTTGAGGAGGAGGAAGAAGCTGTAGAGGGGAGCTGAAGGGCTCCCGAGGGGGGAGCGAGGGTGGGCTGTCAGGGGGGGACAATGAGGACAATGAAGATGAGTAACGAGGGGGGAGAAGCTTACAGGTAGGCTGGCGAGGAGGCACAGCGGGGGGACTGTCCAGGTTTGACATCATCTGGAGGGGCGGGGCCAAGATGATAAAAGAGAAAAAMAGGAAATCAACAAGCGAAACATTTTTAATTCAAACAGAAAATGTGAAACTAATCGAACTGATGAAGCTGAAGGTCCAAAGCTAGAATGTCAAAAATGTATAAACTGGACTGTAAAACATAAAAATGATGTAACAAAGTAAATAAACCAGATTAAATAAGACCGCYTGGACACAAAGAACTGCTGGGACTAAGTGAAGACGGTTTATGGTCGAACTGATCAAAGAGACAGCAGTGAAGGTTCTGAAGGTACCGTGGAGGGAGACGACTCTGAAGGAGCAGACTCTGGCCGTCTGCGAGGAGGAACTGGAGGAGGAACAGGAGCATCTTCTGAACCCCGACTGAAACTCACCATGGAGGAGACGGAGGACGACCCTAAGACAAGGTGGGACACAGAGCTAGTGTTAGAACCACAGAGACAAGCCGGAACAAGGAACCACTGTTAGAACTTCACAGAACAGGTGAGACGATGGTCAGCTCAATGACTCTCAGCTAACAGAGCAGGTTAAAAAGAAACCCAACTTTCTAATGTGGATTTATTTAGATTTGTTAAAACATGCTCCTTCAAGTGGACAGAAACACAAATCTCATTAAAATAAAACAGATTTTTAGCCATCCTCTTCATCACACCTAGCACCTGCTCTTCCTCTTCTATCCTCTGGCAGCTTCAAACTGAACATCTTTGACCTCCATCATCTCCAAACCAGAGATGTCCCTCTGATGGACTCATTTTTATTCGTGTTCATGGTCATTAGTTCCACTGAAGATCTGGACATCATCTCTACCAGCTTCAGCTCTTCTTCCTGTCTTTTCCAACAAACAAGTTCCCCATCCATCCAGGGAACATTCCCACAAATCCTGGCTGAWAGTCTGTGGGAACTCCCCCCTGCTGTTGTCCCTTCCTATCTTCTGTTCAAACGGATTAAAACTAAAGACTCCCACAGAAGACACCTCAGAACCTAACCCAGTGTTCAACCGCCCACTCTCAGGATTAAACCTAACCCAGTGTTCAACCGTCCACACTCAGGATTAAACCCAACCCAGTGTTCAACCGCCCACACTCAGGATTAAACCCAACCCAGTGTTCAACCACCCACCCTCAGGATTAAACCTAACCCAGTGTTCAACCGCCCACCCTCAGGATTAAACCTAACCCAGTGTTCAACCGCCCACACTCAGGATTAAACCTAACCCAGTGTTCAACCGCCCACACTCAGGATTAAACCTAACCCAGTGTTCAACCGCCCACACTCAGGATTAAAAC